AAAATCATTTTTAAGAATGGAGTGGTTAGTGGCTACTACATAGTAGTGCATCAGATGGATTTATCGTACTTTACGTGGCTGTTCGCCCATACTGGGATATTTAAACTGTTTGCTTCTTTTCTCTCTCTCTTTTTTTCCTTGCCATTAAAATAATGTCAGGGTGAAAACCTTTGTGCATAAATCTTTTCCTTTATTTAAGATTCTTGAGATAAATTCTCAAAGCTTAAGCTTAGTAGGTCAAAGTATATTAAGATCTTAAAGGTGCTGCATGCTTAATGTTCTTAATGCTTTACAAAAAAGGGAAGATTACTCTCTTTTTATTTGGAATCTTTAAGATAATATTTACTCAGGAGATCGCCTTCTCGTTGTCATGTTACTCAGTTCGTATCAAAAGGAGTTTGTTTATTGCATGCTCGTTGCCATGGGGGGAGGTCAGGAGAGTCAACCAGATTGGCACCGAAATCCACTGCAGATCATCCATGGGTGGGCATGTCCCCAAGATGGGAGCATTATTCTAGGGGACCTAGGGAGAGTACCATGATTAACTCCCAAACCCAACTCCCATCTCAGAAGGGAGCAACTTCTGCCCAGGAAGTTCCCAAGACGGTCAAGGTGCACAGAATCTATGTCAGATGCAGTCCTGGTGGAGCTTTGACTTGACGTTTCAACAAGAGGCACCTCATCGTAAAGCTGTCCCAGCAGATCTCGTATTCCAGCTCAAAGAACCAATGGTTTGACCAGATCTCCGGCAGCTCCTGCCATTGCTGCTGGAGAAGCCCCCCCCCCCCCCAGTGAAAATGGGGGAATAACTACTCTTGCTCTTTTCTTCTGGGGCCTGACTTAGCCTCTGACTGCAACACTGTTGGCTTAATTCTAGACCATGCCCTTACACTGAGCATGAAAATTCTCCTATTTCACCCTGGATATGGGCTTCGATTATACTGTGTCATGACCACCACCCCTGTTCGTTTCTCTGCTGCAGCCTCACTGTGCACCTCCCAGGTCAGCTGGCTGTGGGGTGAAGGGGTAGAGAAGGAACGAGCCAAAAAGCAAGACGCAGGTGACCAGCATGACCCATAGGTCGGTCACTCAACATCAGACATTTTGACTGGAAAGAATTGTAGTGGTCATCTGGGTCTCTTGAGCACAACCTTACTGGGGCTACAGGTCTCTTGAATAATCAGATGAAAAAGGGCTTGAACCCTTGCTCCAGAAAAATACACCTCCCTAGATTTGGGGTACAATTCTGGGATGTTTCACAACTTCCTGGTACCCATCCATCTAGGCAAAGCCTTTTGTTTTCAGGTGAGAATATGGAGACCGCAAGGAGGTGCAGAGTTCTTGTCCAAGTTCAAACTCAGCTCACCTGATTCCCAATATAGTCCCTATCAGCCAATACTGTGACGTTTCCACTCTCTGTTGAGCCCCCTTTTGAGAATGACGGAAAGTTAGGGTTCTCACAAGCAAGGAAATAGAACCCCCGCTCATAAAAGGAAACAGAGATCAATTAGCAAGTCATATTCCTGCCCTAGATTCCTCTCTGAAAGTAAAAGCTAATCCCGCCCATTTATTCAATAGGCATTTCTTGAGCATCTAAGAGCATCTCCCAAAAATCTCTTAACCACTGGGAGATTAATTATTTATTGAAAATTAGAACTCTTATAATCTCAAGCCGGAAGAGATTTTTAAATCTCAAGCCTCAAAGTGATTTTTCTTTGGCTTTGTTCAAGTGCTGGGAGCCCCGCCCTGAAATGGGTCACAGAGAGGCAGTTCACCTTCAATGCAAATGACGTGTATGTTAAGGAAGGAGACCAGAATCCGAGCTGAAGGGCCCCTGCGTAGATGGTCCCACTAGTATCTCTACTACTACTTCTGCTATTCAACAAAGCAGAAAGGTTTCCAGGTTTGGGGGGGCAGTTCCCCAACTCAGCAACTCAGATCATACATTTTATTAGTAGCAGGGAGAGAACCAGATTCCAAGTTCATCTTTCTGGAAAGAAGCAGGAAGCACTTCTGACTGGTATTTATCTTCCCAGTTGGGTGCCAAGAGGCAGCTTTTTGTCACAGGAGGAGCCTGGTTGTGAAGGCTAGAGACTTGCCCTGAAGCTGAACTTCTCTGCTGCCTCTCTCGTGTGACCTCAGGCAAAGCTCTTTACGTCTTTGAGCCTTGGTTTTCTCATCTGAAAAATGAGAACTTTCTCAGCTTGGTTTTCTGTCAGGGTCCTGATGATGTTGTACTTGTTGACTCAACAAGGGAGGGTATCTCCCCTCCCTGGCTTTTCTAGTCTCTTCTTTCTTTGTAGCAAATCCTTCATTCTGCATCAGGGCCCAATCAGGAGGCATAAAAGCACACAATAATTTGAATAAGGGGGAGCGTAGTATAAGGAATTATTCAACTTTGAGAGGAGTAACTATAAAGAAGTAACAAGAACTCCAACGGGTACCTAAGACTGAGGGAGAAGACACAAGGAGGAACAAACTTGGGAGGGGCCCTGTCCGTGGCTGGGGCAGAGACTTCACAGGAGAGGTTGTGGTCATAGCCCACCGGTTGTTGGAGAAGTTGACTGGGTCTCCTGGACCAGAGCTGGTTCTCAGTTGCTAGGCAGTAGCAAACAGCCCTCTGGGCACTGGTGAGATGAGACTGGCAGGCAGGTGTGTAGAGTCAGAGTGCCACGGCCACTGTGAACCCTCAAGCCCATGGTGGTCCATGTGGAAGGTCACAGTAAAGGCCAGAGCTGCAAGGCCACCAGGCCACGATGTGCTCTGGGCATGCAGTTGAGACAGAACCACGCAGTGTCCCCACTGAGAGACTCTGCAGCAGGAGAAGGTCCAAAACCAGGAAGAGAAACCCCCTTTTTCCTGCGGGGTTCCTTCAGTAAATGGCTTCATGTCCTACTTGCTGTGAAGAAGTGCCTCCAGGGTCCAGTCCGTTAGCTCCGAGCAGAGACTAACGGGTTACTCAGCAGCGGAGAGGCAATAATATGATAGCCAGTATAATAGGTGATCAAAAATGCTTGAATTCAATTAGGAAAAGCCACACAATCTGTCAGTAACTCCCTTAACCCCTCTTTATTTCCCCTTCTTTCAGTACCATAAATTTTACCACCAATAAATGTCACATCTCTCCAACTTCTTTTGTAATTTACTCTCTGGAAGCTCATTTCCCTCTGAGGTGTTTCATTTTGTTTTGTTTTGTTAACGAGGCACATGTCTTTCTTGGAAGAGAGAAGAGTGGGTAGATTGGGGGTGGGGAGGGGAGGAAGGTGGAGAGATGGAAGAGACGGAGGGGGAGAGGGAGACTCACACAAACAACCTGAGACCCAGTATTTCATTTTACAATTTAGTTCTCCACTCAGACTTGAATTCGTCTCCCTGCAGTCTCCCTGTTTCATTTCAAAGCCATCCACCTGTCCTTCCTAATACTCTAGGAGTATCCCCCAAGCACTTGACTTCAAGTGGCAGTGGAAGGAGCCAGAGGTGATCCGAGAACCTGTCCTTCTCTCCCTTTAAGGAAAATGCAGTGGCCCCTTCAGGGGAGACTGTGCAGTCAGTCTCCTCGGACAAGGCTGAAGAGTCCAGTCTCTGACCATTTGAGAAGAAAATGGGCAACAGCGCACACATCAGACTTGAAGCATAAATACCAACACAAATATTATTCAGAAAGTGTTTGGGAAGGACTAGTAGTTTCAAGTGGAGAATCAGACCAAGGAGAGTGTGGCCTTGTAAAGGGCATTACACGTGCTGTCCTGTGGGAGATCATGTTATTAACAGGCACTGAATTTGTGTCAAGAGAATGTTCTTAGGCATCAACCACCCTGTGCTTCCAAAATATTTCATTCTCTACCGAAGAATCAGATTTAATCAGTGTTCACGGTTGATTCTCCTGCAGGAATTAGCCAAACAGTGCGGTAGGGATACAGCTAAGACGACTTCCAAGATAGAAATGGTTTTGAAAACAATCTGTTTTCCACCCTTTAGGGGGGCTGAGAGGATCATCCCTTTAGTTCAGAAAAATGGCAATGGGAAAAACTAGAAGAACTTAATCTTTCCACCAAAAAATATGTATATATGTATGTGTATGGCTGTCTTATATATTTCTTTGCAAGTGATAAATATCCTGGGGCCAGTGGAACCTAGAGTAGTCAGGCAAAAAGCTGCCTAAGTTTCTCCCCAACCTCTACCTTCTTAGTCCTGCATGTCCCAAGGAAATCGTGTTCTTTTTTTTTTTTTTTAAGATTTTATTTATTTATTTGACAGAGATCACAAGTAGGCAGAGAGGCAGGCAGAGAGAGAGAGGAAGGGAAGCAGGCTCCCCACTGAGCAGAGAGCCCGATGCGGGGCTCGATACCAGGACCCTGGGATCATGACTCGAGCTGAAGGCAGAGGCTTTAACCCACTGAGCCACCCAGGCGCCCCTGGAAATCATGTTCTTAATGATCAAGAATAATACGTGTGTTTATTCCTGCATAATGGGGTTGTGGACCGTCTTTATTTTCTTTCTATTTATCTGTCTTTCCTGCAAGAGCCTGTGTTGTTTGTGAAGTTATATATAAAAATGTTAACGGGAAAAAAAGAAAACCCACATTTCTCTTCCATAAATCTTGGGCTCCATTACTGCTCGTTGTGTCCTCTCCAGCCAGACCCTTTGTAGCCTCTCCACTCCCCCTGTTCAGATTCACTGCCAACAATCAGCAGACCTCATTTTTTGGAAGACACTTTTGGCAGAGATTTATTTCTCCGCTCTTGGACTTCTAAAAACAGACCACTTTTCCTTCTGCCCCTCACCAAGCGGTGATGGATGCTGTACCTGCCTCTGATGTGACAAAACGTAAGCGATGAATCAACGCCTTTCATGATCCGTGCACATTCTGAGGCAGGCAGAGCGCGCCAGCCGGAGCGCCGAGCCACGTAAAGATGCTCTCACGTAAAGATTGCATGGTCCTGCCAACCGTGGGCACCTTGAGGATACTAACCTCTGATCTGTCGCTCTGCTCTTTCAGATTTTTGACAATGAAGCCAAAGACCTAGAGAGAGAAGTTTGCTTTATTGATATCGCCTGCGACGAGATTCCAGAACGTTACTACAAAGAATCGGAGGTAAGCCATAAATGGGATGACAGGTGGGAGAGAGTCACTCGTTCATTCAGCCGATATTTATGAAGTAAGTCTTAACCTGGGAGACTTTCATCCATCTCCGTGTTGATTCAATTCGGCCTCACATCTTGCTGGATTATTTAATGCGAGTCTCAAAATTAAGTTCCTACTCCTTAGGGCCCTGGCTGCCACTCTATTTCCATTTCCATTTCCTGTCTCCCCCACTCTGCCATCCTTCTGGGCAGCAAAACATGCACCAGGCTGAACCATCCAGCATCCGGGCCTCTGTCGAACAGCAGCCATCTCGAACTTCCTGTTTTGCCAGGGCCTGCGCGGCCTGCCTCCCCATCTGCCATGTCCGGGGTGGTGGGGGGTGGCCAGGGCTGGGTTTTATGTGTTTCTCTATGTATAACCCAAAGAAAATGTTCGCTCCATCCTCTGAGTGAATATTGAAACTCCCAACAGCTCATCTTGACACAGAAACTTTCTCTCAAAACAGGAAGTGCCTTTGAGAGGGTTTTCTCCTTTTTTTCATTCTTAGCTGGGAAGAAACTGAAGAGCCTCCCTTTTTTCTGTAGCTCCCACCCTACCGGGATCCATGGTTTGCCTCAGCCCAACCTTATTATTTTACTGTTGGTACAAGTCACCCTTGATATCCCACTAGCACTTTATGAACGGCTGCTGGCGGGATGTGGGTGACCGTCCCCTTGTAAGTGACATCCCCGCACTGAATGATGGTTGTTTAGCAACAGCACAGCCAATCACAATATGTGTGGACTCGGGGCCCCAGACTCATCCTGGAGCCGTAACACACGGACCTTGACACTCTTCTCCTGGATTCATTAAGGCTGATTTAAGATATAATAAATAAACCTGTTGAAAAGGAATTCCACTGTTCTTACCAACTGGACTCCCAATGTGGTTCAGTTTTGTAGTTTTTGTTTTTGTTTTTTTTTCCCTTTTTTTAACCCCCTCCACATTTTGGGATTCTAACCTGGTCTTAGCAAATGCTTAGCTGCTTAATTGTAGGCGTGTGCTGTGCAGCTGCTGTCCCTTCTTCAAAAGACTGGGAGAGGCTGATGTGAATTACTCTCGGTTTGACTCAAAGGCTGAGCGTCGTAACGTCATCCGTTGACACCGCGCTCCGCAGCCAACCGCACTCATGAATTTTTAGAAAAACCAAGTGAAATGCTCCGCATAACTGAGCCTGCAGATGAAGAGGGGAAACGTGGCCTCCCCTTGTCTCATTCTATGGAGGAGATACTTCTGTGGTTTCATAGCGGATCCACCGGGGCTCTTGTGGTGCATCAGAGCGCTACGCATGGTATGAGCCGTGCCCCATCACTTCCTCGGCTCCTTCAGCCTGCGTGGGGGCTGCTGTCCTTCCTGGGCATCTTGACCTCTTCAGGAGCGTGGGTCTCCCAGGAAGAACACTGAACTAATTTCAGCTCTTCCTCTTGGATTGCTTTGGTGTGATCTGCCCGGGACTCAGGGAGTTCCCTCCTGACTGGGTGGAAAGTCTTAGGATAAATATGGAATACTAATGACAAAATCAACAAGTCTCATTTCTAGTCAGCGGGTGCCTGATTCATCTCCTTGTGCTTCATGCTCCCAGGAACCAGCTCCGGAAAGTTTCTTTTCATGTACACAGACAAGCGAGGAGCTCTTAGTTCATTCTTCATAGTCCTTCATTTCTCTTGGTCATCAAGTATTCTTTTCAGAGATGCAGGAGGTGAATGGTCATTCATCCAATAAGTATTTGCTGAATACTCATTGAATGTCACATACAGTGTTAAGACGGTGACACGGGAATGAATAGAATAGCCAACTGAGAGTCCCTTCTTCCCTCAGTATCCTTCCAGTCTGGCAGGGAGCCAACAATAGAAAATCACATGAGGACAGACAGACCTGAGAGTCACCAGTGCCATAAGGAAGCATGCATGATGGGGAAAGAGATCATGATGGGAAAACTGAATTTAAGAGCATGGGATCGTGGGTCGCCTGGGTGGCTCAGTCAGTTAAACGGCTGCCTTCAGCTTGGGTCATGGTCCTGGGGTCCTAAGATCGAGTCCCACATCAGTCTCCTTGCTTGGCAAGGAGTCTGCTTCTCCCTCTGCCCGCTCTGCCTGCTGTTCCCCTTGTTTGTGCTCTCTCTGTCTCTGTTAAATAAATAACTTAAAAAAAAAAAAATCTTAAAAAAAAAAAAAAGAGGATGGGATCAGGAAAGATGTTCTGGAAGGAATGACATACCGAGACCCGCAGGATGAAAAGAGCTGGGGGATAGTGCTCCAGGTGAAGGTAATAGCATGTGTGGCACCACATGTGTGACACACATGAGGAAGCAAAGGAAGACCAACATGGCAGCAGCAGCAGAAATGAAAGGACGAATGGCACCAAGGAGGTTGGGGCCATGTTAAGACACTTAGATCTTATTCAAGTGCAGTGGCATGCCTTTGCAGAAACTAAAGCTGAGTGTCATATAGTCTGATTTGTGCTTATAAAAGATTGCTCTGGATGGAGAAGGGACTGGAAAAAAGCAGTGTGGAAGTCAGGAAGTCACGGAGGTTGTTGGAGTTTTCTGCATTATTGGTTTTTCACGTTGTGTAGTGGCTTGGACTGGAGGGCTGAGAACAGATGGTTTTGAGGTATATTTTGAAGCTAGAACTGACAGGGAGTGGTCATGGACTGGATATGAAAACGAGAAAAAAGCAGGTGTCAGGACGACCTGAAGGTTTAATGGCTCGGCCAGCAGATAGACAGGGGTGAGAAGAGGAGTGGATTTCTGAGAAAGATGGATGGATTTTGTGATGCCAACGAGACGTCCAAAGCAAGTAGAAGTAAGTCTAGAACATAGATGCGAGATCTGGGATGATGACGAATGTGGTAATAATTGGAAAACAGAAGGTACTTAAAATGCTGGTGAGATGAATGAGAGGGAGAAAGCATAAAGTATAAGCAGGAAATGGGGTTCAGAGCTGAGCATGAAGGGATGGCAGCATTTGGAGATCAGGAAGAGGATGGGAAGGGAACCCGGCAGAGAGTTGGAGGAAAACAAGGAGGGTGCCCCAAGGGAGGGCAAGGTTCAAGAGGAAGCATGTAATCCGTTGAACTGAGCACTGCTGTGAGGTCCAGCAAGACAAGAATGCAAAACCATCCTCTGGAAACAGTGGTTCTCAACTCAGGGGCAGTCTCACTGCATGAGAATGCTTCCAGTGTCTGGAGACATCTTTGGTTGTCACAACTTGGGGATGTACCGGCAACCAAGGATGGTAGTACTAAACATACCACATTGGACGGGACAGCACCCCCGCCCCCACCAGAGAGTATTCTGGCCCCTGAGGTCCCCATTGCTAAGGCTAGTGACACCCTGGGGAAACTCTGCCCTGGAGGAAAATCTCACCAGAGATTAATGGAACTTGGGATTCAGCTCTTCCATTCAGAGCCGCCCCTGCCTGTCCCAGAATCTCAGGGTTTCTTGGCAGCTGTGGAAGAAAGGGGCCCCAGAGGGCTCCACCCTGTACACTCTCCGTCAAGTACTGCCTCCCAGAGGATCACTGGCCTGGGCTGCAGGTGGAATTCTTCCTCACCTGCCCCAGCAGTTAGACCACAAAGGAATCACATAATTGGGAGCGTGCTACATAGGACTCCCTTGTGCCCCAACCTCCTATCGTTCGGCTTCCAGAATCCAGACTGCATAGCAACCCACCTGGGGGGGTGGGGGAGAGAAGAGTTTTCTAGGCTGTTCTGGTTGTGTGTCATCAGCCAGGCCCTGAGAACAAGGGAAACAACTGACACAGAAGCAAACCATTTCCAAATAAATTTCTACCCGGCACGCTATAGGTAATGAATATCCCCTTCCCCACCACAAGGGTTTTCTTGTAAAATGACTGACCTGGTCATTTTCTGCTTTAAACTACCCTCATGGGCTGGGAGGAAGCCCGGTCCCTGAGCAGGGCCCTCAGCCCTCGCCACTCCCTGGTCCTCCCCACCTCTGTGCTTTTAGCTGGGGATCTTCTCCTCTGGGGCCTTTCCTGGGCCCCCCACTAACCCACCGACCATCAGCAGAGCCTGCTGCTCATTCGATCGCACAGGTCTGTTCTGAGCCCCATGAAAACAAGAGCTATCTACTCCATCACCCTTCTTCCCCAGCTAGAACAGCACCAGCACGGAGCAGATGCTTACCAAACAGTTGTTGAATGAATAAGTGAAAGCCGGGGGCCTTGTTTTTTTTTCCTTCCCGCAGCAGCAATTTCAGAGCAAGTGCTATCAGAGAAAATGAATTTGTTACCATTAAGCTAACAGTTGTGAATCAGAATTCTTTTTTTTTTTTTTTTTTTTAATCTGAGGCGTACAGCTTTGCAGGCGTTTTCTTCCCATCTATCTTTGTAAGTTGACTATGTCAGCATCATAAATGGGAACACGTTTTCCACGGAGGAAGCTAAGGCACTGGTGGGCTGACTCTGGTCTGAGTTTTATGATGCTTATTCATTCAGACCGGGGCTATCTGGGTCAGTCGTCTCTCCTCCCAGCTCTGGTCACACTCACGCTGCTGTCCGGGCTGAGGCAGGGGACTGAAGGGCTTGCTTTTCTCCTTCCCTTTCTCCCTGGAAACCTCCAAGCCACACAGGAGGCAAGAATGCCTTTCTCGTTAAGGTGACTGGAGCTGGGAATTTTCCGCTGGGTGCCCTCTGCCTGCCAGAGCCTTGTGCCACCACTAACCAGAGATGCACAAGGACACTCTGGAGAGGTGGGATCAGGTGACAACCCGGCACTCTCCTCGTTCTCATTTTGCAGGGATGCTGTTTCCCAGCCACACCCGGGGCCTGAGCACCAACTCCCAAGAGCCTGTCAGCTTCAGGTTCTGTTCTCATAACCATTGCAGGACTCGGTGGGGCCGCGCCTCTGTTATAGAAACGGAAAAAAAGAAGGTTGTGATTTCTCAGAAACAGAGAGCCCCTCCGTTAACCTCAACACAGCCCCACCAAGGCCCTGCCCCCATCAGT